GTCTGTGGGAATTGGAACATGAGGGTGCCTTCATTGTGCTCAATTTTTTTCGTTGAAAAAATGTCAAAAACTAAAATCTAATTATACAGAACGATAGAGAATTTCACGAGCTTTCAGAATATGTCATTATTTTTTAAAAAATGCCTTTTTATAGTGGTAATACGCCCAAAATACCTTGTGCAAGTATTTTTTTCCACGGGAATATATGAGTTCTATATTTTAGCCTCAAAGGAGCTGCGCTAACAAGCTTTTTTATGAAATAAAAGTAACAAAAAATGGCTTTGATGGAGCCAGGAATCTTGATACTCATCTTGTTACCGGTATATTGTCATTTTCAGGCATTAATACAGGACTTTTTGCCACTTTCAATCGCTTGGTTTCAAATTTGAGACATTTTGAAACTCGGGAACGCGATACTAACACTTTGATCAGACTATAGATAATGCTGTAAGAATATTTAGCTGGGCAAAGCGAGTACGGAGAATGTTGATGATATCACGTGGATATAAAGCATATTTTCAACATGCTCAGAATATGCAATTTCCGTAGGGATTACCGAATATGGGAATCTACATTTTCAACTCTTGAAGAATAATGGTTCGTTTCATTCCGCTCCTTAACGTGCTGCCAACGAGTCATTTCCCATATCTAGTACTTCTAATATCCTATCTTCAGTGCAACTCATCCTTTCAGTAGAGGGTTAGCAGCGTTCGCGCTGCGTTACTTGTTGATTACTTCTTGTAATAGATGATTGAAACTATACCTTAAAACTTTTAAATGATTTTAGTAGATATTGATAACATTCGAACTAGATTATATTTTTAATTTTCTATGTACTACATAGGGATATTCTAATTAACAAATTTAAAACTTGTGATTTCTTAATGCTGCTAATTACTACATAATGCAACTAAACGAATTCTGTACTAATGATAGATCGATCTATACGTAGTAAAAACTTTTCTTATGGCTTTAATTTTTTTTTGACTTTTTTTTTTTGTTGTATGCTCAAATGTGGATCAGGAGTTTAATTGCGATCGCAGATATAATTCATAAGAAAAGTTTGAAAAATAGATAAACCGATGCCATTGTTTTTGCTGACTCCAAATATATTATCTCTTTTGATAGAAAATATCATTAATTTTTCTAAGACTTGTGTGTTGATATATAATACCTTTCGTTTGCATTAAATAGCAAGTACATACATGAAGAAATGTATGTAAAATTTGCTAATCAGAATCTTTCTAAAGTAATATTTATAGAAACGAAAATGTAATTGAGTTTAAATCTTATCATCTTCTACTAAAATCATTTTAAAAATCTATATCATAGTTTCTACCATCTACATGAAGTCATCATTACAATTTTGTTGAGATGATTTTCCTACAAATCATCACCTGCCCTCTATTGCTCATTTAGACTTCGTCAATCATGTAAAATGCTAAAGTCGCAAAGTTTTACTATATAATCATTTGTTATCAAAGCTATTTTCTCGTTCAACCATAAATAAAATACAAAAAAATTCACACGTTTAAGATTAATAAGTCTTTGAAGACCTACATCTATATGAACATGATCTAATAAATAAAGAAAATCAAATGTCTAAAAGATTTATTTGAAAAAAAAAAGATGATTGATGAATTTTGATTTTATTTTTATTCATACTTGACTTATTTGATAAAGAAACTGGTAAATGATTGGTTAGTTGATTTCATTTTTCGCTGAATAGTCAAATAAGCTTCAAAATAAAGTTAAGCTTTTTGTATTTTATTTAATATTTTCTTTATTTCTACATACTTACTTTCATAAAGTTCTGTTTGAATATATAAACGTTCACTTTCTTTTCACGTGTGAATTATTTTAAGAATATTTCTATGTCTAGCAAATATTTCATGAAAGCGAACTACTTTTTATTTTAGATCACTATAATTAAATATGAAAGACATCTGTTTTTTGTTTTGCTAATTAAAGAACACATACCAATTGGATTCACCATGAAATTTAGTTAATGAATATTTTATTGTATATAGTTGATTATCTTCTTTATTACGAACTTCATAAACCTTAAACAAAAAATTAAAAATAAATGATACATTTTATTTTATCGAATAAAGCAGAATAAATGTTAGTCTGAGTGTTTTCATTTCAGATGAAAATAATATTTATAGTTATGTGTAGATATAGTTTTAACTACATTATTTTATAAGTCATATTAATTAGAACATAACTCGAGAGAGATGAGTCAAAAGTTCAATAGTGATCGAATAAATGAAAAAAAACAAAGATTTAAAAATTGTTTAACATGTAGTTTAGATAAATTCTAGAATAGTTTTCTCTAGCTCGAGACCAAAAAAGAACATTGACTCCTTTATATCTCTCCATTTCCATGTCATCTCTGTATTAGATACAGTAGTCATTTTCGATGAAACATAAAAAAATCTCAATAGAGGCTTAGTTTCCGAAAGGTTCTAAAACTAAAGCTTAAAAAAAACCTCAAATCTAGAAAATCAAAATGAAATAATTATTGATGTTAATTCAAAGGATAATGATGAAGATTTTCAACGAACAATCAGTCAATTGAGATTATTTTAGAATTAAAAACTGACTCTACTGTTTTACTTCAATCATATATAGATAGTACCGAAAAAAAATTAGATAAGATCGGTATTCTAGTTTGAAAATTGTTTTGTAAATGTAGGTCGATCAGTATAGATCAAGACGGGAATATTCAAAACACACTCACATGATGAGAGACATTTCATTGACTCAGAAAAATAGATTATAAGCATGAACTCTTCTTCTTGTCGACATAATTTACTAAATTCAAAAACAAAAACGCATTAATTCTCATTATGAAATGCAACTAAACATCTCAAAATGTTTTCTCATTATTAAGGAGGCAATACTGTTTATGATTGATATAATCTCCAAAGTAAAATTTATTCTATATTTTAACAAATAACTAAACAAGAAATCCATCAATTTAATGATGAACTCAAAAAAGATTTTGGATAATACTGATTTAATTTCATTTGATGAATCAAACATATTTTTCTATTAGTAAATCTAGTTATTTGACTTTGTTTTTTATTTTACATTCGAATTTTAAATTTTAACCTTAGAAAAGTTTGTCTTACTTCAACAAATGAAGTATGAACAAGACTTGCTAAGTATATTGAAATATGTGTTCATATTGCTATTGGTCAGCTAATGTTATTGATATACAAGGTATGCCAAAAATAACTTACCAAAAAGAAAATCTTTTATCTCCATCCTATTTCAGCCAGTTTAGGTGATTTTTTTGATAGTAGAGGAGAATTCCAAGTTTTTATTTGCAAACATGAAGTTTGCGAATGATGCTGAAAACCATTACTATTGACTACAATACAACATTGAAGTCTTCTTCAGTATGGTAAAATAATACATAACGTTTTCTGATTAAACTTTTCAACTTTTTTAGTTGTAGTCGACTTTGAAATATTTAAATCTTTTATCCTTGCTCTATGCACCTTCTTTTGAACATTTTTTCAAGAAACAAACACTCAACGATACATCTCCACCAGCGGTGTAATTAGTATTTTTAGACCAATGGGCAAACTTCTTTTGTGTCAGAAAAAGCAATGGGCAAGATCTTTTTATAGGTCAAAAATATTTTTTGGTTCGAAAAAGTACCAATAAACTAAAAAAAGGAAACACATTTCTTTTAATCAAATATACATCGAACTTCAATCTTGAAATTAAATCAGATGTGTTTTATCGTATTCTTAATGTGTTCATTTATAACATTTATATTATAAATTCAAGCATCAAAATCAAGACGGCTATGATACATTAGGTTATATAATTTGAATATTCTCTCTGAATTTATATCGAGATGTTTATGAGTATATATCCAGCAGCAAGTTTTTTTAGCCTATTTTGTTTTATTGTGCACCGATAATAACTTTTAATTCTCAAGAATTGACTGAAACTTCTTTCAGCACAAGCTATCGACACATGCAATGTTAACCAGGAAATTAATAAAAAGCAAACATTTGGCTTTTTCATGGTTAATATTTTTCCTCAATAAAGTCAAACGCACATTCATCCACAGTTCCAGTTAAAATATAGGAAGTGATTATTTTCTTGATTCTTCACAGAAAAACCAAGCAAAGAGTATATGTCAGATTCAGACGGAAGAAAACAAAATGTCGTTGTCATCTAATTCAAAAATCAACAATCTACACAAGTAAAATTTCACTAGGGTAAATCTCTAAAGGACTAATTGACAATAACCCATTAGTCCTTCCCCTGGCTACACTACTGATCTCTACTGAGCAGTTTCTCTGTAGTACAATGAAACTATTAATAACCGATGAACTGCATGAGATGAACGATTCCAGTATTTGCTGTCATCAAGAGTTATGTTGTTACATTTCTTTTAATAAAAAAGCATTCGAACAAGTGTTTACAAAGTAAGAGTTGAAGAGTCTATTTAAAAACAGGTTGTATATTGTTTTACGATACTGGAAAAGGCTTCAATTTTGTATTGAAATCAGTACTAATGGTTGTCAGTATCGTTTATAAACTTGATCTTTGCGAAGAACAACTTGGAACTCTCCTCTACCATCAGAAAAAAATTAGCTTGATTGGTTGAACTACAGTGAAGATAAACGATTATCTTTTTGATAGATGACTCCTGGGACACCTCTTTATCTAGATTGATGAATATCGTTTTTTTTTTCAATAAAATTTAAGAGTCGATTCAAATGATTCCATTGTTCTACATAATTACATATACGTTTTAGAACAAAAAAAAAAGAATGTACAGCATATGTGTGTTCTAACTCAATATATTACAGACATGCGTTTAAACAAAATAATTTTATTTCATAGATAGTTACTTATAATGCCTAATTATTTTTATTTCTATATAAATTTCATTTTCTTACAACAATCTACTAAACACTTTTCTAATTTTATTCTTTTTTTAATTAACTTAATAGTTAATCTTTTGTCTTTCAAAATATATCTGGATAACATATTTTTGCATAAGGAAAATATTCTTGTAAACAAGAATTGGAACATTTTGTTTTACCATATAAATATAATTTACTTATTTTGGTAGAATGAATTCGTGCAGCATTTGTTGTGAAATTATGTGTCACACGCTGTAAAGATTCATAATTGATCTGAAGAATAATATTATTTTGCAAATACGTTTTGGTATCAAATAGAAATTCTTCTATATAATCATCATGGGCATCGATAATAACAAGTTCACTAAGAAAAGAATATTCAATAACAGAGAAGTTTTGATTATCATTGTTTGATTCATAAGATTGTTTTCGATTCTGTGATTTATTATTTTTCAAAGACAGTTTTTCCATAAATGGAAATGATTGAACAATTCGAAGAAAAAATTCATGTTCAAAAGGATGTTCATCATATAATGACACTACACGAACATATTGAAATAATCCGCCTGGAAAATTATTTGTAATATCGCTGTAATATGGCATAAAAGATGGATATGAGTAAATATGACATCGACTTTGTTTTATCTCTGGAAAATAATCAAGATAAGAAATTATTTTATTAGCTGGAAAATCAATAAATGTGCGTTGAATATCTTCTGTTGATGGAAAATTCATTTCCTTACGAGTAGACATGATTGAGGGAATATAAAATGTAAATTGATTTAATCTTGTCATACGATTAATAATGTTTTTCTTCAAATAGTTTCCATCAATAAATGTTTCATCAACTTCCACTGAAAAATACAAATCGAGTTCTTCTAAATTTGACATTCGATATAAAAGTGGAAGGATTGTTTCATTATAATAATATGTTGCATAAACACAGGAGAGAGAAAAGCACTTTAGATTTGGTAAGTCGCCCTAAAAAAAAAATTTATTTTCTTATTTGATAAGATAGAAGTTTTTCTTGAAAAACTAACTTGATTTTGAATTTCATGAGGACGACGAAGATTAACTAAATCAACATAGAGCGTGTGAAGTTGATTAAAACGACCATCGAGAAGATGAAGACAATCATTAAAAGATTGTATTCTGATATTCAATTTCAAAAGAGTTGAAGAACGAAAATTAGGAAGAAGTAGCTCATTAAAATTTAATCGAACACAATTTTTATACGATGATTCATATAAGGTTAAACAAATTAGATTGGTGAAAACAGTCAACAGATAATCAAATATGTTTGCCACTGACTCTAGCATCATCCCATAATCATCATTTTTATTAATTGTAATTAAAAGTCTTGTAATCTGATTTTTGAAAATATCAGATGAAAGAATTTCATCTAAATCTATTGTATACAATATTAGTAAGAAAAAAAATCTATGAAAATAATATTCATAAATTCAATGACATAATCATCTTTATGAATAAGTTTGATAAATCATTCATTTGTTTAGAATAAAAACAATTCAAATCAAAATTTCTTACCAGTAAAAAGAGATCGAACTGACTTTTCATCAATATTATAGAGACCAAGAGTATATAGATTCGGATAATGAGTAGTACGTAAAATATGTTTCATAGATGATGATCCAAGATCAAGGCATTCGATTGTATCACAAATTTTAGGTAAAATATGTAAACAAAATCGATCAAGTATCATATTAGAAGAAAATCGATCAATAAAATTATCTGATGACCATTTGACAAAAGTCAAATGATTTGTAAAAATTGGATCCTGAATAATTCTATTTAGTCGCTGATTGATACCATGGAAAGAATAAAGTACTTCAAAATTACTGAGTTTTTTGAAAATAATCATAAGAATTTCATTAGGTAAATCATTTAATCCAATGCACGAATATTCCATCTTTACATTCATTTATCTTTTTTTTTCAACTTATGAAAAGTCAATATTTATATGCATACACTCATCTGTTCTATTTGACTGGTATCTATCAAAATGGACGAAAGAAAAAAAATTGACGAAAAGAAATATTCTCCTAAAAAATGTCTTAGATACCATTAAGTGACTCTATCAAACAGTAAGATATGAAGTTCGAGATTAGCGATGAAGCGAGGATCGATATTCACATCGACATTTTATCCACATAAAGAAACCTGAAGTCTAGTTCTTAATTTTGTGTCTGAATATTTTTCATCCTCTATTATTTTTGCTGGTCTATTTAAACATGAATTATTTTTCTGTATACAATGAAATATTTTTATTTCACTGATCGAAAATACTGAAATACACTTTTTTTTGACAAACTCATATGATTGCAAGGAATTTTTCCTATAAACTGTTTCACCATTTCCTCGATTTAACATATTGATCTTTGACGTTTTTTCCAATCCCTAATTTTTTTCGATATTATTTTTTTCGTTATTCTTTTCGTTCGCTAATTTTTTCTTTCGATCAATTCAATATTAGTCACTTGATCGATGTCGTCAATAGAAACAATAATGCATTTTTCTATAGTCAAATCGATAATGAATAAATGTATGATTGCAAGAATGTTGTTTTTTTTTCTGAAATTTCTCATGTTGTATGATAAAAATTTATATTCCTTATTTATTTATGTTATAATACATACAGGCACTTGGAGAGTTCATTTGACTAATTAATTAAAATTAATTAGTTAAAAAGTATTTCTTTGATCATGAGGAACACAAAGTTAGTTGTGAACTTTGCATTGAGGTATAAGCGTATTTCTTCGTTTATATATTCGTATCCTAGCATGTTGCTAACGCAAATTAAATCGATTTTTTTTGAAAGCTCTCGAAAAAGATTCTACAGCCTGATAAGTGGTCTAGAGGATCTAACATTAATCTTTCGATGATGTTTTCTCAATTTCTCAGTTTTTAAAAAGTCAAACGCAAGAAGTAGAAATTAATGATCTTTTTAGGTCGCATCATTAATTCTGGTTTTTTTCTTTTATAGTGGTAACTTCATTCAACAAAAGTCTCCAAGACTGAATTAGTTAGAGCATGTTAAATAATTTAACATATAAAATCTAATTCTAGAAACGCTCATTATTCAACAATACATACATTATTAGTTTGCCTATCAAATAATATTCGTAGTGAATGAATTACATATGTTTATGATAAAGTTATCACACGATATAAAATAAAAGAAAACACTTATTAAAGGACACACAGATACATGATGAAACACTAACATATCATGTCGAGACCATTATTGATATTTTCATAAATATATGTTTATGTATCATTTTCTTGAATTTTTTAAATATTTTCTTATTCTATTGTTACATAGATATATTTATTCGAATTTTAAGAATTTGATACTGCTTGATTTTCTTAGTAACTTTTAGATTCTTTTTCTCTCTTTGCTGTTATTATATGTTAGAACAACGAGTTATAAGATAAGTCAAATATAGAATTGAGAATCTTTTTTCTTATTTATTATTACTAGATTTGTTTTAAATATATTGATATCTTTGTTGATTAAATACGAATGATGAAATCACACTTTAAATTTAGATAAATTATTCGAAAAAAGAAGTTCTTATTATTAATACATTGGTTATTTTAAATAGTAATTGGAATCTTCGAATATCTGTTCAAAGATAGCTATTAAGACTTTTTCAAAACTGAAAAATATTTCTTTTAAAGATTTTTCATTATATTATAGATGTTTTAGATAACACATTCTGCTCAAATCGAACCTTTCTTTTCTTCGAATAAAAGGAAAACAAATTTGTTTGTTGCTGGACTAAACAATTAAAATAGATCATATTAAAACGAACAAGTTATATTTTACAAATGTCATGATTGTAAATCTCTTCCAAAAACATGAACTTGGTGATAAGTGAATAAGATATTAATAAGGATAGAAATCATAATAATACGAACTGAAAAGTTTAATGATGAAGGAAGAATAACTGAATGATCAAATTTATTGAAACTCTTATTAATTTTTTTTGAAAGGATTACTAAAGCGTTTCACAATTATCTTTCATGTATTAATAATCTCTAAATTTATATTCCAATCAATCTATTAGTAAAACATTGCACAATTTTCACTGAACTAATTACATTATATTTTTGTTAATTACCTATCTGTTTTATCTATCTGTATATTATTACTTATATCTGTTTGACACTCTTTACTACATTACATGAATTCATCCTATAACTTATATTTCACAGAATATTTTCATTTATATAAATCAATAAATATAAAATTACATATCAGCTAGTTCTGTATCACAATCTTTCTCTGAAACTATAACCCATGATTTATCGTCTTGTTCATCGATCGATTGATTAGAAGTCAATCTATCGTATTGTATTGTTTCAAATTTTAAATCACATGCTGTAATATATCGATACCATTTATCTCTTTCATGATATAGCACCCATCTTTTATTGACAACAGCAAATAATTCAGGTCCTTCGGAGCTGATTGTTTTATAATAAGTTGCACCCGGATAACCTGGACCAGTGTGACCAAACTCTTGCTGAAGTTCGGGCCATGATTTTTCGATACCTTTTGCTTGTATTGGTAAATTATCTTGTCGTCTAATATAGTAAAATTCACATGTATTCATGACGTATACGAAGAAGTAAATAGGCACACGATAAATAAAGCGCGTGTCGATTACTAATGTTAACTGAAAAGTTTCATCGGTCAATAAAAAACAAAAGAAATATCATTTTTTTTCGCGTTCTTCTTCCTTCTTTTCATGATGTAATTCTGATTCTTATGACAGAAGAAAAAAATGTAACTCAATTGCGTCGTTCTTTTTTTTTGAAGTGTTTAACATAAACCTATGAACGCACTTCCAATAAATAAAAAGAATTTATATATTCCAGCACTTTCATATTACTTTATATGTATTACTAGAACTTAGCATATAAAATGAATAACATTTTACTCGTGTTTTACAAATCTGATTAGTCTTAAAATGAAATCGAATCAGCAATATCGACTATGGTTAGTTTATTTATAGGATACTATATTTAACTCCGTATGGCATCGTTCAGAGAACCCAATGATCTTCGTCTTCATAATAAATATTGTGATTTTCTCTATTTATGGATTTTAATATAAAAAATGATAATTTATTTTTGTTCTCTATTCGATAGAATACTGATCAGAAAAGATCTGATTTTATACAGAACTTAGAGTAGTTCGTATCTGTTTATCATAGTATCTATTTTGGCAAATTTATCATCGTGTTAATTCGCATATTCGTATGTATCTATTGTTAGAAACTAAATATATATGATAGGACTTAGAAAAGGATACCATATATGGTAAATGTATTTAATAGCATGAAAAGTATATATTGAAAACTAAGAAAAAAATATTGCATCATCCAGAATCAATAGTTACAGTCTTATCTTTATATCATCAAAGTTTCATTATTACCTGAGAAGAAATGAAAATTTTTAAGTGAGGATCCGCCAGAACACCGACCAAGCTCATTAGGGATGTCAGGGTTCCCCGTTTCCTAGGATTCGGTTCCCGGGAACCCGGAACCCACTTCATAATTCATTTTTATACATTTCTAAATACAATGGAATATTCACACAGCCTTTTAAGGCCTTTTCACATAAAGTTGGCATGGGTTTCCGGATTCCAAGGAACTCTATGTGGATCCCTCGTTCTCGAGAACTCAGTACCCTATATGAATACCGATTTCTAGAAACCTGAAACTACATATGTGTTTTTGTTCGCTGTAATCCACTATGTGTTCCTCTTGTCGAAAAGCAAGAATCAATCTCCTGATTTTCTCAATTTTTCTATAGAATAATCTGAAAACATGCACCTATTGATGAAGATGATCTTGTCGGTTACGATTTAAGTTCTTCAATTCTATCAAAAACGAAGAAATATATGATACTCATTTGAATAAAAGCGAAAGTACTAGCCATTTTCGCTGAGATGAACTACTCATAAGTACTTCATTTATTTTCGCTTCGCAAAGTCACAATTCATCATAGAGACTTTCAATAAATCTCTTCGGAATGATTAGATAAACTATTATGTAGCGGTTAAGGTAAGGTCGACGATTACTTTGTTTAGTACGCTGTACTCTCTTTAATCTTTCATTTTTCAAATTGAAAAACAATGAAAATTAGAGATGTTACGGCTTCATTTTCCTGCATTGTTACCTATTTTTACAATGCTGATGTTTCAGTGTACTTAGTTCTGATCAAGATTCCGAATAGCAAGTGTACACTGCAGAATCAAAATGTACGAAATCTTTGCTAAATGCAAAATACATGCTATTTTACACTTTGGTCAAGAAAAAAAAAGTACGGAGTACGCGGTCTACACAGAATTTACATATCGTGTTTTATTCAAAAATCTGTTGCTATATAAGTTAATGTTACTGTATGTGAACAATAAAATGTACAACACGGCCCCTTTCAGTCAATTTTAGCGTTGGCCGATATGTCTTTTTGTTTTCTTAAATGGGAATGTGGAAATTAGTTTCTTTTAGCTTATGTGAAAAACTTTGATCTCATTAGACTTTGGTACCTTTTACTTGAAAAAACTAAGTGTACACATACAGTTTGCTCAGTCAACCAAATTGTACGAATACACTTCGTTTGCAAATTCGATTTGGAACCTTGGTTCTGATTAGATTTTTCATAAAATCTATGCGCTCTGCTGACTAATGTCCATTTTAGTGATAAGTGGCTGTGAGAATTTTTTGAATAACTTCTCATAGGAACGAGATAGAGACCTGCAGTTTTCACTATTGGAGAGAAGAGATGAAGACCTATCGAACCATATATAGAAGGATTTTTCTAATAACTTTTCTAAAGATTTTACATAAAACTTCAAGAAAAACAGCATGCCTCTCATGGTCAGGATATTAATTCATTGACTTTCAGGAGTGTGCTAGAACCGCCAAATGAATAGCTACAAAATCATATCAAGATTCTATTCCTAACTACTACCAGTAAGATATCCAAACCATGGGAGACATAATTTACTAGCTCATGTTTTTTCAATAAAATAATCGAAAAATGTAAGCTTTTGTAGTATTCTGATAGGAAAATCTCATTTTTAACCTAGAAAAAAAAAGCAATTCCTTGAAAAAGTTCGACTAAAACCTTTAGGAAAGTTGTTAGAAAAATGTTTATGTACATAGTTCGATGTGTCTTCATCTCCTCTCTCCAATAGTGAAATCCGCGGGTATATATCTCGTTCCTACGAAAAGTTATTCAAAAAATGCTCACGATCATTTAACTTTGAAATGGACATTAGCATAAATTTTTAAATTTTCAGAATCAAATATGTTTGAAATATTGACATGCAGATTTTGAAACTAGTACCAACTTTAAATTTGCCAGTTGATATTTATTTTTCTTCATTGAATAATCGTAGCATCTTTTCTTTATTCAAGTATCTTGATACACGTAGTCGGACTTGAATGTAAAGAAAACAACTTGTGTAGTGTTGCAAAATTAAGCGTTCATCTCTTATCTGTATGCTTGATTTTTTTTAATGATTATTACGAGTATGAACGTCAAATAAAACTTTCATCTGTGCATAAAAATAATAAGATATATATACGTCATCATTTATCAAAAGTTACTGATCGATCGAAGTATATTTACTAATAAGTTTTCTTTCTTTTCCTCTAGAAATAGATATATATATATATGTGAACATCATAAACTGAATTCTATTTGACGAGGAAAGAAAGCATCTTTCTTGTAGAAAAATACCCAATATTAATAAATGATTCTATTTCTTTTTAAATATAATTATTTAGTTTACATAATACATTCTATAAAAACTACTCGTCAAGTAATATATCTATCAATAAATGAAGTTCGTTATTCTCTAATCAAAGAATTGAATTCTTTCTCAATTTGTTTCAAAATATAATCCAATATTTCGTTTGACTTTCAGTCAACTCTTTATGTTGCATTTCTTTGAAGTTCTAACAAAAAATGAGTATAAAGATTACAATATAAGTAAGAAAATAAACTATTCTTCTGTTTTTTTAACCATATTCTATATAATTTAGTATAGAACATTCGTTGTGCAACAACCAATCCATCAAAGATTCTTATGCGTATGGAAAAAAACTTATTATTAGAAATTAAAAGCAATTTACTATCAATGAACTTTTCATTGTTTGCTTATTTAGATTGAACGAACATCTATTAAAAAGTGACGGATTGCGTTCTGAATATGTACTAATTATATTATTAAACAAAAGGTAATATCTCAATATTTTCCTAGTTTAATAAAATTTCGAAAGTATCGAAAAATTGAGATAAATTTCGATGAAATAAAGAAATTAATTGATAGAAGAAAAATAAGAGTTTGATTATTATGCTTCCAGGTGTGAGTGTGGGTGTGTATCTTCTGTTCTAATACACCCACACCCAAATCAGTTTAATCGGTTTAATCAGTTAAATCGAAAAAATCTGATTTCAGCTGTTCCCACGTAGCTTACACCCCACACCCAACCTACATCCTCTAGCCATACCCACACCCACGATACATGTAAGGATGAGTTTGATCGAATACTCAATTATCAACGACAAAATCGAGTTCAACGAATGGTATCCGATCAAAAAATGATACCTGGTCAACCAATAATTCGGTTCAACAAACGACACTCGATGAGGAGGAGATGCTCGATGAAAAAATAACATTATTGTCGGATGACGAGGTATATAGTTCAATATCGATGCATGATGTGCAGAATAAAGTTTTTTGTTTTTATTTAGACGATGGATGAAGAAGTTGATCAAGAAAATAACGAAATATGATACTAAAATAAAAACTTCCTTACTTCTTCTATAGTAGAAGAATGACGAGTTTCTATATATTCTATGAGGCATAATTAACTTTCAACTGAAGATATTAATAAATATCCTTGTTTATTCATGTGTATCCCTATATAGTATTACTAATTTGCTGTGCAAGGTTTTAATTTTTTTTGTAGTTAATTCATATTGAATTCGTTTTCAGTGTAAATCAGTTGTTTGAAATTGTTTGAAAAATAGATATTGTCTAGCATAGTTTTATATTCAAATAAATTAGAATGAAAATTTCCGTGAAAATCATTAGTTATTTACAGGATTTGTCAAAATTTCAACATGGATGCATGCTCTCGAAATGTCATGATAAAAGAAAGATTTGTGATTAAAATATATACATATGAGGTAGATTCTTTGTTTAAGATATTTATCTATCTTTAATAAAAATTTACGAGAGAAATATCAACATAATGATATAATGATAATAATAATAAATGGAATGTTTTTTTTACATATTGATCATTGCTATGGATCTAAAGTTTGATTTCTTCGACTCGATTCATGTTCCGTTGATATGATTGGATACCTGTAAAACTCAAAAAGTCGTTACGACTTTTTAACTGTTCGACTATTCAACTACTCGAATATTCACCTCTTAACGACTATTAAACTATTCGAACATAGACCAGATCGGAACGACTAAAACCACACACACATGTTGTGGGTGCCACAGAACACAGATCTGAGTGGAGCGACTAACACCACATACACATGCTGTAGGTGCCACAGAACGCAGACCAAATCGCAAGGCTAAAGCCACACACGCATGCTGTGGGTGTCGCGGAACACTGATCAGATCGTAACGACAAAAACTTTGCAGACATGCTTCGGGTCCCATGGAACACGAATAGTCGTAAAGTTCCACAATCATTGGTAGTTGAAAAGTCGAATAGTTGAAAAGTCGGATAGTTGAAAAGTTGAATGGTTGAGAAGTTGAATAGTTCAATAGTTCAATAGTTGAACAGTTGAAAAGTCGAATAGTTGAAAAGTCGTTACGACTTAATGAGTTCTACACTACTGAAAAATAAAGTTAAAAAAATTAAAATTTTTAAAATTTAAAGTTTACTTTTGAAAATATGACTATTGAAAATGCATATAGAAAGTAAATTTTTTTAAAAGATCCTAAAGTAAAGTTATATTTTGTTTTAATTAGGTTTTCTGCAATATGTAGAGGACTTTAGCTTTTGACAATAGGAAGTTTTCAAACTTTGGACAGTGTTTTCAATTTGTGAAGGACGCACATCTTTGGTAATAGAGAGTTTTGAGCTCTAGATATCTAGTGCAATTTATAGAAAATATTAGGTATCTATTGAATGAAGATTTTCGTTGGGATTTAATTAAGAAGAATTTTAATGAAAGACAAAATTGAAATTGACTTGCTGATTTCTTTTTCTTTTATTATTAAATAAGCTAATACTCATAATGCATCAGCAAGGGTTATTGATTTGGACTTGGCTAAGAACGATTTTAATTAAAGACAATACGAATTTTTACAGAGGTTGTATCATAATTTGTTGTGGTAATTCGATATTTATTTCGAATAGAGTGTGACCGGACTGGGCTTTGTTTGTCAAGTGAAGACTTTTATCAACATCCATGTTTCAAAATCATCTTTTTTAGAACATCATCTTTTGTATTTTTAAGGTTTGTACATAAATACTTTTGCATCTCAATTAGTTGTCTCCATTCAATGTTTGATTCAATTTTATAATGACAATTAGATGACATAGTAACAATTATGTCTGGTGAACTCTATAAATTGCAGTTAATTAAACAAAAAAAAGCAAGCACTACTACTATAGTTTAGTGTTCTCTACCCTTTACAGCTTATTTTATTGAAATAGTGGAACTCAATATTTAGCGAATTCTATAAATTACAGATAGTTGTAATACTGAAGATATCAGCTTTATTAAAATTGTTCTCAGTAAATGTCTAGTAATTTAACAACGAAAATTTGAAATTTTCGATTTATTTCTCAAGAAACTTGTTAAAAAGTAAACTGTTTTAAAACTAATACACGTAACTTTTTAAAAATTTAGACAACGAAAATTTAAAATTTCAGATTGTTTTCAATTTGAAGCGTTTCAATTACAATAAGTTTGAATTTCGATTTCACTATACTTGAAATGATTAGAAAGAAGAAGATCTTCAGTTTTAATAAATTTTTCTTGAAAAGAATATATCTTGAGTGTACCGTCATCGTCAGTCATTCTTCACTGATCTTCATCAAACATAAACATTAGTTATATAACATGAATATTTTCTCTCTGTTATTGACTTTTATTTCATCAACATGGAGAAAAAGAAGTTACAGAAAACTCCACGTCTAGAGAGAAAGGAATATTTAATCAAATTAAAAAATGTTGCTGCCGTCGTTCGTTATTTATTCATTTGAATAAGCAAGAATCTTAATTATAATATTTAATTGCAACGTTTGATGAAGAAAGAAATTCATCAATTTAAGCAAATCTTACTTTATTATGCGCATAAAAATGTTGACATTGATTTGCAAATTATTTCGTATCTTGCGTTCAGGCAGTATCTCTGGAGATAGACTACAATAATTATAGGCAGCATTATCAAAAAAGAAAAAGAAATAAAGAACTCTAATAACATTCTTATCAAATCCAACAGTAAATCAGTGAAAAGTATATACAAAAGTTTAGAAAAATCAGCAAAATTATTAATAATATTTGTTGCCTTTTCAATATCACATTCTTTTAATGTTGATATGAGAATACAAGATTCTGTTGAAGTGTTATCAACACTTTTTGACAGTTGAATAAGAAGCTCTGTTGGATCGGAATATATGCCTTCAACCTATACACATATCAAATGAGAAAAATAATATAAAAGAAATACTTCTTTGAACAGTTATTCCAGAGTATTGTTTAAAATGAAAAAGGTTTCAGTTGCATTGGTATTAAATACCAATATGATCTGCTGAACATGTACATCATGAATATCTCGCGTTATGAAATAAAATGAATAATATCAATTGCCACAATAACGTATATAATCATCAACGTTTCTTTAGAATTTATAAAACTTGTTCAACAATGTCTTCAATTTGATTTTGAAGTGTCTTAGATAATTCTAATGGGCTATACTCTGATGAATTGAGTCAAACTATTTTGGATTGGTGAATATTTGTTCTGATTTCTAATGTGATCATTTTTTTTCCTAGACTGACATTAAAAAGCAAAATATATACGGTTTGTTGTTAACATATCTAGTGAGAACGTAAGAGCCAGTTTTTTTTCCATGTAAGACAAAAAAAATAAAAGAAGTTAATTAAGATAAAAAAAAAATAAGTGTATTAAGAATACAGAACAAGAAAATCAATAGTATTACAACTTATTGTTTGTTCTTGTATGTAGATTTGGTTTTTTCTGTCAAATAAAAGACTCTTTAAGAGTTTGTAAAATAATCGAGTTCGAAAAACAAATATTATATTTTTTGTAACAGAATTTTTCGACAAATAATTGTATCTTATATTGTCTCAATTTGATTCTGTAATACGATCATAAATTATGAACTGACAGTTTTGATCATTTTAAGAATTGAAAACAATGATCATTGGCGACCTCTTGTGAAATTTTCGATGAAAAATCATCAACGTCTATTAAGAATAAAAAATATTAGTTTTAATCAAGTCAATAATTTGTAAAAAAACATTTGATTAACTTTCATAGAGTTATTTTGATTTTTATTAGTGATGCCACATACAATGTATTGTTTACATTGCTAGTAACTCTCTTATATAATAACCATGATCTAGACCTCAAGAGTCATTTGATGTATAACAACAATTCCTCGAATGATGTTCAAGGTTCTTGACTATATTATATTAAGAATTAATCGGAAGGACAGATTGAAAAATTAAGATTGAATGAATGTGGCTCTGGTTTTTGTTCATTGTTTTTATCATTGTTAAATGCAATGGTAATAATAAAACAAATTCTACTCGTCTGCTCAGTGTACTTCAACGACCACAAGAATATCAAAATATTAGTAAATTAAGTGCTCTTCAATTTCCATTCGATCTAGGTAAATAAATTTATAGTTTATTCAATGTATCAATATAGATTTAATCATTTATTTTAGTCGGACAAATTACACATGTTAGTATTGATACATTAACAGTACGAACACGATATAATGGAACAACACGTATTAAATTAGCATGTATCTATACAACAAATATTTGGAAAGCAGCTTTTTTACGGAAACATCCTCTTGAACCACTTACTTATAAGTTTGTATAAAAAAAAAACGAAAATATATATTCGGATTTTATAATTAATTGAAATCTTTTTATAGACCATTAGAAACATTTGTTAAACTTAATGATCTTGTTCGTGTACATGTTATTGATCGTTCAATACATTCACCAGGAGCTTATGTTTTTGGTGAAATATTTAATTTAGCTAAAAATAATTTAAATATTAATAAAGAACTTGTACGACGTGGTTTAGCTGAATCAGCACCAACAACACTTTCATCATGCGATTCAGAATATTTTCTTCTTGCTCAAGAACAACCTCAACAATCAGATAATCGTTTAGGATCATCACGTGATCGACGCTCAGTTCCACAACATTGTGCATCACCACGTTCAGAAATTGAACAAGAAGAATGTCAACATGTTATTGATGATAGACAGTATAATTATATGACGATATTAGTTAGTACGGTTGCTATTATTGCTTTTATTGCAAATTTTGAAGCTTGATTTATATGTTTTTAATATATAAAATAAATTATATACTAAGATATTGAATATATACTTTATGATACTAATAGATAATCTTGAAGAACATGATAAATAGCAATGAATAATATAATCATTACTATTTTTGGATCTATGAATAACTATGACATTTTTAAGTGATTAAAAAAAAGAACCATTGTCATAAACCAAGATTGAGTCACTTGGATTAACTTATTGCTACTGTTACACATATACTTATGCATTTTATATATAATCATAGAATTCACTCATTAGTATTCTATTCATTTTGTATCTAATGTCATAGTGTACTGTTTTTTTGTTAAAATTGTTTTCACCATTTCTAATCAGCTCACAGGAAACAGTACTAACAATAGACAATATAAAAGTAAGAGAATTATAATGGCTCAGCATACCTTTTTATTGTGAGATAAGAACTAACGTCACTATTGAAATACAGAGAGAATTTATGAATCTATTACCCTCTAGCTTATGATAGACACCTACGTAATGATCTATTATGCATCGTTACAGAATATGACCTCAAAAAAAAAAGAGTTCCACTGGATTAGTTTTATAATTTATTTATAGAAAAATTAGAAATTAATAGGTAAATTTTAAAAAAAGCAGTGTAGTATGGCTAACATAATTGTCCTTATTAAATTTAACACCGTTATACAATACACATACATAGTAATGCATTCAATTCGTTTGTCTAACATTCTTTCTATTAGTAAGAGTAGTTATATTCTATTTGACATTTTAATTTTTAAGTGATCTTGCAAACAACTTTCAACATTCATCAAGATGTTTGAAATTATTTATATACACTCATATAATCTTGTGACGACTTCTTTTTTTATTCTTTATCAACATAAAAGATATTCATATTTCATATTGCTGACAAATATCATTATATTCTAACATAACAAAAGAAATTTTTAATGTGTACGTAGGATTTTCTTCATGTTGACAATACCAATTAATTTGTTTTATACTCACGCTACATCAACAAGAATTAATGAGCACATGACATTTACTATTTATATTGGGTATTTTCTAGAATAATAAAGGAATGTCAGCTTATTAAAATAATACAAACAATTTAAAAAATTAATAAAAAGAAGTTTTATTTGTTTTTGAATATTATCATATAGGATAAATTCATTTTATTTTTCTTTTATTGAAAATAACTATTTCAAATATGTTTTACTGCTTATTTCATATTTGAAAATTACAATCAATAGTAGATATAGATCAAACTTTTGCATAATGTATTCTTACTTATATCTCAAATAGTTATTTGGGCAGATGTCAACTAAACAAATGAAACTATCAATATACTTTATCTCTTGTGATAGTACGTGACGTCAATTAATAATTTGTTATTATTATTAGATTTATTTTTTATTCTATGTTAAAACAAAAGCTAACTTTTGCATATTGCATCGTATTTTTTAAATTAAAACTAATTCGTTTCAGAGTAAATATTGAAACAGAAGTTTTATTATACAATGAATCCATCATAAGTTTCGAATTTTGAAGAACTTCACTTCATGGATATATGCAAGGTAGTCTTGTACGATTGCATCACGCTATTGTGATTATACCTTTTCATAGATCTCTTCTTTTTTTTCATGAACTGATCATATAAAGAACAAGTCATGTATATAGAATTATTTGTATAGAGTATTATTCAAGTCAAATTGAATTTGTAACATACAGTTTTTTTTTTAAAGATATTTGCATGTTGAAATGTCAATTAAGTATTTATGATTATCGATCGATGTATATATGTCTATTGACACTGATCAATATAGAATTGTAATAGTACTATTCTGTATAGTAGACAAACATTCTCTTTCCGTTTGCTTTTTTTTGTTTTTTTTGATGACAAAATTAGATTGAATAAAAACTAAGGATAAACTAATTAATTATATGTTTTATTGAGATATACTAGATAACTTGATGTAGAATAATAAAAATAATATATCAGTTATTGTTACATATTATTTGTTAGTTGAGCACACAATTGACAATAGTTTTTTCTTTAAGATGCATCTTCTTTTTAATTTATTTGTCTCTCCGAGATTATAATTTTTGTCATTAAATCCTTCTTTTTGTCATTTAGTTAATGACATCTCATCAACACTCTTACTATGTGCGTCAGCTCTTAATTATAAAAAAGAAGTAGGAATGACTCGAAGACGGCATCAATGTTTGATTTTTTCTTTCATCATATCTCGTTCTATGTGATCACTTCTAAGGTTCTTACATTAACATTTCTTACATTTTTTTTTCTAGAAGAATGTTCAGTTAGAATTTTTCATGAACTTATTGTTATTTGTACATTGAAGTGTTGTATAAAAAAAAATCAAATGATAGGTTGGCTATATATAGAAGTTCAGATGTTTCAAAAAAGAGCATGAGAGAAAGAGAAGAATGTCAAGCCGTTCGAGTATTTAAGCATCTTAATTTATGAAAGAATAGAAAAAAGAAGAGACAAGAAAAAAATCTTCATTTTTTAGCGTCGCTAACTTTCTAGACGGAAGAAGGAGATGAGAAAAAAAATCAAAAACTGAATAGATATCATATTCGAAGAAAAAAAATGTTAAGGTGAGTTGCGTGTTGTTTCTTAGATTATACAAATAAGAATAACTCAGCGTAAAGGAATCCATAGTTTTTATGCATTATCAACAGTTGGTGGCATAAAAATAATTTGAAAACATTTTAAATAATTTAAAAAAAAAAACAGTTTTTTTTATCGTTTTAAAAGAGTAAGAAAAAAAATATTGTTTGTATCGCTTATGAAAACTTATCGAATTATTTTCATTATAATCATTTTAATATTTGCTTGAACTTTATGCTGTTTTGTTTTTTGGTTAGAATTATTTAAACATCTATGATACTACGTATTTTTATTAAATAAAAATCTTTTCATAACTTATTATTTGAATGAAAAAGAGAAGAGAAAAAAATATTTTTGACGAGATTGATGTTTTATTATAAAAGGTAAGATACTTCCTTGAATTATTCAGTAATCTATTCTTATTATTCGAGCTCCTTGCTTTATTTTTTTCTTTTTATTCTACACATTGTCAAAGCCATAAGAAAACCGTGTTCGTATTAAATTGAAATAGACATGGTTATTCTTTTTTTCCATTAATAATCTTCTTTGATACGTCCGGTATGATGTTTTTTTTCTTATTTTCATGTTTTCTGTTACTTTACCATAGTATTCTAATGATCATAAAATCCAGAATAGAAATGCGAGAAGAAGAGACAACTAATAATAATGATGTGTTCGTAATAGAAAGATACTCGTTCAAGAAACAAGAAGAGTACGCTCATACTGTCTAAAGCGTCTGCTTTTTTTTTTCATTCTGCAGACGCAAAGAAACATTTTTACGTCGAACAAAAGAAAAGAAGTAGATAATTAAACACAGTTTACAAGATTACATATTGACATAGATAGAAAGTAAATTGAAAATTATGTTTCTATTTGTAGACTAAGATATAAGTATGATTGAAAATGCAATGTAAATCTTCTTTTTTTTTTGTACTTGAACGTAGTAACAAGAATAATGTTTACCTAATGTATACAATTTAGTTTTTTTTTTCTTCTCCTTTTTGTACTACTCTTTTTACTTCATTAATAAAAAGGTTAGATGTAAAGGCCCATTTGATCTCATAATACTTTATAATCATTTGTCATTGGATGCTCAGTATTATATGTATAAACATTATAGATCATAAGACAGAAAAAAGAAGACGTCTTTCCTATTGACGTGATAGATTGAAATATTTTACATATTTCTTGTCTTTTTTTTCTTGCTTATAGAAAATGATTAATTAGAGTTAATATTATATAATTTCAAAATGATGCCAACAGTTGTTATACAGACAACAGATAAATCCGTCGATAATGACGATACACATTCAAAATATAAATTATATGGATGGGGAAATTTTCGAATTAGTAGTATATTAAGTCGACCTTTATTTGCTTATATTATATTATGTACGTGTAATTTTGTTCAAAATTTTTCTGTTAATGGTGCAAATAATGCAGTTATATCAACACTTGAACGTGTATTCTATTTAAATAGTGTTCAATCTGGTCTTTTTTTGGCATTTTACGATTTAGCAACAGTATTTTCATCACCATTAGTTGGTTATTTAGGTAGTCGATATTCATCACCAATATTTTTTTCAATAAATATGATTATTGTTGGTATTGGAAATATGTTAATTGCTTCGAGTAATTTTGTTTATCAAGATACAAGATTTAATTTAAATTCTGAATTGATAGAGCTTTTATCAACAGATTATGATCTTCTTTATCAATGCTATAACGATCCATTTAATGAAAAAAATATGACAGATCTATCATGTCCAAGACAAGGACATTTATCAAGAAAATCTGAAAATGCTAAATTTCTCTTATATGTTGGTAATTTTATTAATGGTCTTGGAAGTGTAGCTTTATTTACAATTGGTATTGCTTATATTGAACGAATATTTCCACGTGACAAAGCAGCTTATTGTCAAGGAATTTATTTTGCTGTCGGTACTGTTGGTGGTGCTCTTGGCATTGTTAGTACAGGTCGATTTTTATTAATGTATACAAAACTTACACCTAGAAGACGACTTCCGTCTTGGTTAACACCTAATCATCCACTTTGGATTGGATGTTGGTGGTTACCTTATATTATTTATGGTGCATTATGTTTTGTTATTGGATTATTTGTATCTGGCTTACCGAATTTTGAAAAACCTGGTAAAAAGCATACGACTGACACGTCTACTTTAGCTTTACCTGCTCAAAATGATTCCAATTTATCAAGTAAAGAAATTTAATTTTGTCTTTTTTCTTTTAGATTTTAAAATTATATTCTTTGTTTTTTTTATTTTGGTTCATTTAGTTCCTCAACTTGTTCGAGAAAATAGTGCAACTAGTATTTCAATGCTTAGCTCATGTCCACAAACACCTGCCTTAAATAATGATTCATCTGAATTAAATTCTGATTCAAAAAATCAATTTGAAAATACACTTCCGTCTTTGAAACCTCTTATTAACGAATATCGTTTATCAAATCGAAAATTACGTCAATTGAGTCCACTTGAACACGATTCAACAACAAATTTATCATTAAACATGAAAAATACTAAAGAGAGTTATATTAATCATGCATATTCCATGGAATCGGTTTATAATCAAATGCCCATTACTGATTCAATACCATTGCCATCAACTACGACTAATTCAATATCACCAGTACCATCATCATCAACAACAACAACAACAACAACAACAACAACTGTCTCATCATCTCCTCAAATACCAAAACGAACAATATCTCAGAATTTGAAACATATGTGTTCTGTTATTGGTGAATTGATGAAAAATACACGATATATTTGTATTATTATTGCAAACTTATTTGAAGGAATTTTAATCAAAGGTAAATCTTTATATTCTTTTATATATTAGTATCTATTAATAGTAAAAAAAAACTAAATTCTGTGTAGGATTTGTACCATTTATTACAAAATATTTTGAATATCAGCATCAATTAGATACATCTACAGCTACATTAGTGACTGGTGCAATTGCACTACTATCAGTTATTATTGGTTGTCCACTTGGTGCCTGGTGTTTAAATAAATTTGGTTGGACACCTATGCGATGTGCACGCATTTGTGGCATAGTATTTACAATTTCATCGTTTTTATTTCTATTTCTTACATTCTCATGTCCGGAACTTAAATTTGAATATTCACCTTGTACAACAAATAATACAGCTTGTTGTCAAAATGTATATCGTCCAGGTAAGTTTATAATTATAGAATATATCTATTGAAATAACGAATATTTTCTTATAGTTTGTATGGTAAATAATACTCGTAAAATGTTTTTATCACCATGTCATTATGGTTGTACCAATCAAACAACACTTTCTGATGACAATACTAATTATTATTCATCATGTAATTGTGCAGGTGATTCAACAGTAAGATTAACTGAAACAGCTTGTCGATTTCGACGAATACCTTGTAAGAATATTTATTATTTAGATATTTTCTCTAATGATATTTTATTGTTGTTTTTCCTAGGTATTATGATCTTTGCTTTGACAATGACAGGTGCTACACTTGTTGTTTTCTTTACAGCATTTATTCAAGTTCCATTATTACAAGTACTTCTATATAGTGTACCACTTCCATATCAAAGTATGGCACTTGGTCTTCGTCAAACCATTGTTCGAGTTTTAGGTCAAACAACAGGTCCATTATTATTCGGTTTTGTTTTTGATCAATCATGTTTAGTATGGCTTACAGATTGTTATGGACGACAAACATGTAAAGTATATGACAATCGTCGAATGGGTATATCCATGGCTTTATCAGGTTTTTCAACACGAATAATATCGGGTATTGCGTGTATTATTGTATTTATTCATTGGAAATCAAAAGTTTCTAATGAAGTTATAATTTCTACAAATTCATTGGCAATAGCTACAAATAATTCAATAGATAAAAAAGAAAATGGTGAAGCGACAAAATTATAAAGTGTATTGATTTATATAAAGCTCAATGGTGATTTGTATTTTATCGTAATTTATTATTGTTTTTTTCGTCATTCCGTCTTTGCGACAATATACAACAATATACATATTGTAAGCATAAAAAAACCCTGTGATATAAAATGAAAAAGTTTTGTTTATATGTAAGTTCGTTTGTAAAAATAAAATATAATACACAGAGTGAATTGTAAGTAATTAAATGATCAAAAAAATTGTAATATCTCCATTTCGGTTAAATTTTTTATTAGTGATAGACATCTATTGAAGTATGGGGATTTTTTTCTTTTCATACCGATAGCATAAACAAATTTTGTCTTGAAGGATCATTTTAGATTCCACTAAAGAAATGTAATTTATTGTCAGGTAAAAAAACACAGGTAGAATAACTCATAGATAATTTTCAGTTCTTCATTTAGACAATAACAAGAAAAAAATCAAAGTAAATTTTAGTAATAATGTTACATTGATGCACATAGAACAAACTTTTAGAACAACATAGTTAGTACAAACATTCAAATTTGTATTCAGTAATTCAAATACATAATTAAATTCTTCAAACACTGATTTATTAACTTTCATGTAGAAACTAGTGGTTCATAGTCGAAATTCGAAATATCCTAACTATTGACTTTGATACTAATTAAATCCAAAATTTTGCTGTATACATATCAATCTGATATCATTATTAAAATTTGTATTGATCCGAAATGATAGTTCAAAGCAATATTTGTTCATATTATTATCGATATAATGAGAAAAAAAAAGAGACACTTTCAATAGATCTCTACCACGAACAAAAATAAATTCGGCATATTTCATTCAATTGAAATGAAGATATTTAAAATTCTTTTTTATCGTACTGTTAATTATACTTCATTTTATCAATGTGCTGTTGTCATTTTTTGTCGAAATCTAATTAAATTATTTTTCAACGAAGGTCATCATGACAAATAATGAATTTGATAACTCTGTGAGAAAAATAAGAAAATCCGTAGCTACGTCAGAATGCTCTATAACTTACTGGTAAACTAATTAAAAAGAAGTAGAATAATGAAACAAAACTCCTTTATATACATCAAATCTAGACGATAGTATAATATTGTAACCTATCTGAATTGATAAAACTATAAAACAAGTAGAATTCGTTGAGTGCATAAAGAAGTTATTGAATGACATTTGATAAATACAATTTTATATAAAAACATTTCTCTTTCTTTCTTCTTTTTGTGCTCAATATTATATTTACAACAATTTCATTACTGATGAATAATAGGTTACTGCTCTTCTGTTTCTACATCACAAATAAACACTATACTTTTTGTTTTTTGATAAAATATTGTGTACGGCTTATACTCTTCACTTTTATGCCCTTAAGCTTATAATCCATTACCAAGGTAAATAGTGATGAAAAGAGATACAAATTTATTGTTAGAATTCAATGATTTAAAAGCATCATGTTTTACATTTGTCTAGTAAATTATCTTCTTAGAATAGTTAAAAATTGAATAAATTTAATCTTATAAACATCAGCTTGTTTAGAAAAATCAGAAAAAGACTTTTGATAAATTGTATCAATTAAAATCTCGATAATAAAGTTAAACAAAAGATTAAATTATGTTGTCTATATATTTCTCTTAAAAAGTCAATAATACTATTGAAATTAAATAAATCTCAAAGAATCTCTCATATTAATTTCAAAAGATTGTACTCGTTAAATTTTTCTGTTCGCATATTTATAATTGTTTCATAATAACAAACATAAAATTTCTTCGTGCTATTTATTTTTCTTTATCATGTCTTTAATTACTCGAAATGGTTCAACTTACATCAAGAGGAAACACATTCATCTGGAAAACTAATTGCAAAAATAACTGATTTAAATAGATTAGTAAAACGAAAAAGTTTCTGACAGAACTCAAAAAACTACTGTCATCTAAATAGTTAAAAATTTTTAAAGAACATAATGATAAGTTTATTAAATTAAGTAAGAATCCTCGATCAACAATTGCTGAATTTTTACACAAAATTCGTCAAAATAATTATTACCTCTCTCCATTAAAGCTTCTCAATATGATCAATTAGATTCAATAAAATCAACTTATTTATTCTATATTAAATTAAACTTAATAATAATAATAATAAGACAAATACTAAAAACAAAAAAAAAATCTGACTAAGGATGATAAGCTTCAGCTATTCGTTTTAATTCAATTAATTGTTGTTCAAGTAGTCCAATATCTTTATCAATTGATTTTAATGTTGCATTTTTTGATATCCATGTGTGTATAAGATCAGCTACAGAAATAACTACTGATATACCAAGAATTTTTCCACTTATTGTACCAGCTGTTTTAGCACCAGTTGCAAGAGCACCAGCTAATGATGGTAATTGTGCAACTAATTCCGCCCACGTACCTAATGTTGAAGCTGCTTGAATAGCTTCAGATAATTGTAAAAAATTTATTCCAGCTCTTGATACTGAATAACCAAGTGAATAAACAGTTACAAGCCATGCTGTAATATCTCTGATATTTGTTTCACATACTTTCATGGCTAATGCATCTTCTTTTACCATATCGACATATTTTGTTCGAAGACGTTTTTCAATAAAACCTTCTGTAATAGTAGTTCCTATAAATAAAAAATAAAGATAAAAAAATCTACTATAAAAAGAAAACTAAATCGAATAATAAACATACCAAGACTTGTTGCAGTACCAGCAAGTAATACTGGAACACCAATAAGTGGAAAAACAAAACATAAAAGTCCACCAATAATCGATGCTGAATTACCAACTGTATTAGAAATTTTACAATTCATAACATGTTTAGCCATACGAGCTCGAAGATCTTTTAATCCTTCTATTGTTATCGCACGTCTTTCAAGAAATTCTTTTAATGGTTCTATTGATGGTGGTTCAATAACTGCTGGTGCATCAGGTTGTTGTTCATCAATCATTGCTTTTAATTCAACAAGTGATGGATATGTTGGAAATTTAGCTAATGCTTCATTTAGTCGTTTTCCTTCATCGTTAATATCTGTTGTATCTTCGTTTAAAACTGGATAAAGTTCATCTGATGTAACTATAGAAGTTACATTAGGATTATTTTTTTCGATGCTTTTTGATGGTAATGGCATAAGACCAGCACCAATCAATGCTTCCATTGCTGAAGTCGTCGTTTTTAATATATATCTAAATATAAGATTCGTTTATTTTATTTTGTTATAGATTAAAACTTGTGTACTTACTTTTTTATATGTATGTTTTTTTATCTGTGTGTCCTTTTGCTCTTTTTTTTCTATATCGAATATAAGAATCAAATGGTGTAATTTATTAGTAAACTTTATATATATATTTATGATGTTTTATTTCTTTCTTTTCATAAAAGTTTTATATTTCTCTGATAGGCATCACACTGATCAATGAGTCATTGTGAACATAAAACCCACGCATTCGTTAACAGCAGCCTTGTGCTTTATATGTGGGCGTCGTTCTTTATTGTTCTTAATCGTTTATTACTCAAGAAAGCAAGAAAAAAACAATATTACTTCTACTATTGCCTTCGTAATTTCAAGGTGATGACGCATGTAGATTTGAGTCATAGAAAAAAAAGCGAATGAATGAATCATGTCTCATTCGGTCATAGAGAGAGAGAAAGAGAAAGAGAAAAAACTTGAAACGCTCAATGATTAATCTCCATGTAATTCAAAAAATACTTTGATTGACAAGGTTCACGTCTGGGTGATTCAACTAATATAAGATCAACTATTTAAAAAAGAAACCTTGGAATGAATCATAGATGCACAATTTTACAGGAATTTCTGTTTGAACAAATTTTAAAAATTGAGGCTAACAAAAATCTATCTAATAAATATTATGATTCATCTTAATTTTTTAGTTGGTTCCGTTGTTTTCCAATCATTGAAAATATTTGATATTTCATTAAATATAATTGTTTTTTTGTTCAAAATTATTTCATATGCCATGTTTCTTTCAATTCTTATTTTCGTGAAAAAAAATATGTGCTGATTATTTTTTTTTTGAAGTTTTTGCTTCTGGCAAACATATTATAACATGGTTTTATATTACATACACTTCAAATAAATGTAAATTTCATTCTCATATATCATCATTAGTTTCGTTTACTTATTTTTTTTTTT